ACCCTCTCTAAACCCTCTATACCCTCTCTAAACCCTCTCTAAACCCTCTAAACCCTCTCTAAACCCTCTCTAAACCCTCTCTAAACCCTCTATACCCTCTCTAAACCCTCTCTAAACCCTCCAAACCCTCTCTAAACCCTCTATACCCTCTCTAAACCCTCTCTAAACCCTCTAAACCCTCTCTAAACCCTCTCTAAACCCTCTCTAAACCCTCTATACCCTCTCTAAACCCTCTCTAAACCCTCCAAACCCTCTCTAAACCCTCTATACCCTCTCTAAACCCTCAACTTCGCCAGCAAGGAGATCCTGCGGAGATGGGGCCATCCGGAGACCACGTGCCTGGCGGCCCTCTTCCACAGCGTCTACGAAACTCAGGGCGGGCACCATGCCATGGGCTCCGCTTTGAGCTTCTAGGATGCGGTTTGGGGTTTAGGGTTTAGGGTTTAGGGTTTAGGGTTTAGGGTTTAGGGTTTAGGGTTTAGGGTTTAGGTGCCCATGGGCTCCGCTTTGAGCTTCTCTGCTAGTTGCTTATAAGAACCCCCGACAAAATGAGAAATCTTCTTCCTAAACAAGGGCAACACAGGGATTGTTACTATTTTTTTTATATTCTTTTGGGGTTCTTAAGCAAATAGTAGTTGTAGGGCGCCCCCCCCAGTACTTTGTCATATAGTGGGGAAGCATTTTACATGTTTAAGGGTACTTAAAACTCAATTAGGAATCGGAATTTAGATTTTAGAATGCTATCCCAACCATGAACTAGAGTAGTCTAGACTTATTCTGACTGTTTTCGTTTTAAGGGTTGTTAGGACCCCTCAAACTCTACAACCTCAAGTCAAAAGGATTCTTATAGGGAACCGGCAAGCAAAAGGTAGGTTCTGGGGTTGTCAAGGTACCCTAAACCCTAAACCCTAAACCCTAAGCTTCGAGGTTTTGAGCAGCAACGGCCAAAACTGCAAGAGAACCTCGGCGCAGAGGTCGAGGAGCTGGTTTCTGGGCCACCAATAGCAAGGAAAGCATCTCAATGTTATGGTTTAGGGTTTCGGGTTTCGGGTTTAGGGTTTATCTGGGGTGGTGGTCAAGGGGCATTGTCTTCGGGGTTCTTATTGGGGTATCAATGTCTTTGCTGACATTTACGTGCGTCCCCTAAGCCTCAGCCCCAAAATCCCCAAAGCTTAACGCCCAAAGCTCTGGAGCCCTAAACCCTGAACCCCAAACCCCAAACCCCAAACCCTAAACCCTAAACCCTAAACCCTAAACCCCCTAAGAAATGAGCAGCTTGAGTTCTAATAGTCCCTTTCGCATAGTCTCCATGGTAGTTCTTTTTCTGGTTAGCCAGGATTTGCAAGGTTAGGATCCTACGAAAGAGAACTTGGTGAACCCCAACAACAGGAACTACAATGGAGACTCTACTAGGACCCAGAATAGGCCCTCATTCCCTTGGTTTCGGGCTTAGGTTCCCTTATCAGCCCCTATCAAACCCCAAAAAGGCACTGTTTTTACCCCTTACCCCTAACCCCTAACCCCTAACCCCTAACCCCTAAACCCTAAACCCTACACCCTAAACCCTAAACTCTGCAGCAACCCAGGTTTGGCACTTCCAGTCGGCTAACCGCAGCACCTTTCCGCCACTCAAGAACGGCTGCGCCAGGGATCCCACTCTGTGGCCGCTGCACCTTAGCTGGTTCGAAGGTTTAGGGTTTAGGGTGTAGGGTTTAGGGTTTAGGGTTTAGAGGGTTTTTCCTTGGGAATTTTGGGGAGCTGGGTTTCCTCCAGAGAGAGAGCTCCATAATTCTGGGGGAGGTGAGGTATTTGTAGCTTATCTACCAAGAGCTCGTCAGGTATGGCTCTTCCATTCTTTTTGCCAGTGCCGATGCGCAGAGCTTCACGGTTTACTCTTTCGTGGACAACAAGACTGTCCTAGAGCTGCCAAAGCGGTTGCGTTGGCCACTCCTCGAGTTGGTACTGGCAAATGCCTTCGACCAGCCGGCTGCGATGATTGACGAAGATCCTGAGCAGGCGGTTCTGTGGTGCTACCAGCTGAGAGGTTGCTGGGGTGCTCCTTGGCCATACTTGTCCGAAGGATGTCGCAATCACCTTGCGCAGTACCTGAAGTCCGCCTTGGAGGCCTCTTCCTGGGGGAAGGTGGAGCAAGTTGCCCGCGAGGCGCTGCTTGAAGTGCGCTTCCCCCTGCGCACCACCATGCTTGCATCTGAGAGGAACAAGCTGGACCCCATTGATGCTCCACCGTTCTTGAGAACCCACGTTTTTCGATGCCTTTTTAGGCTTAACATACCTACAGACCACCACAAGAAACCCTTAAGTCAGAGCCCGTTCCATCAGCAAGGACGATGTCCAAGGCTTCATCGATGGGCTCCGCACTTATTGGGAGAAGCTCCAGCCAGCACCCGCCGCAGAGCTTGCGAAGCCGTTCTTCGGGGACGAGAAGCTGGAGCTCGAAGCGAAGCTGTGCAGGAAGGTCGCAGAGAAGAACCAAGTTTGAACCATACCAGAACCCAACTTGAAATCATATATATATATATATATATATGGGGTTTAGGGCTCAAAGGGTTTTAGAGGGGTATCTGTTGGACGTCCATTTTACAAAGGGCTGTGCTCCGCACCGGTGATCATCAACAAGTCGAGCGAGCAGCCGAGCGTGTGCAGAAACCACGGGTTTTTCCTTTCCGCATCGAGCGCCTGTGATACCATGAGTCGCAACGCTCTGGCTAGGATGCCCAGTAGTACCCTTATTCCCTTTTTGGGGGGGTTTAGGTTCCCTTATAAACCCCTTTGAGCAAAAAAGGGCACCCTTTTTAAGCCTTGGTTACTGGGCAGCCTAGCTGGAGAAAGGAGAGCTGAGTGAACAGCATCCGGCCACAGTGACATCCTTTTGTCTGGGCTTTACCCCATGTCCCTGTAAACCCTGCGACTCCAAGCTCAACCCTACATGCGTTTAGGGTTTAGGGTTTATAAGGTTTTGGGTTTAGGGTTTAGGGTTTAGGGTTTAGGGTTTAGGGTCACCCCAGAGCGCTTGATTCCGGGAGGCGACGAGTCTAGACTTTCAAGGTCGGCCGCGGGCTCAGGGACTGGCGGAGCACGAGCACTCGGCTGAAGGTTCGGGGCTTTGAGTTTTCCCAAAACCCTTTACCCTAAACCCTAAACCCTAAACCCCAAACCCCAAACCCCAAACCCCAAACCCTAAACCCTAAACCCTTTCCTCCCTACATTCTGCGCGAAGGGTTTGCACAAGCGCGCCTCGTCAGCTCGGCGCAGCATCTTGAGCAGTGCGTGGTGCAGCAACCGCAGCAGGGTTTAGGGTTTAGGGTTTAGGGTTTAGGGTTTAGGGTTTAGGGTTTAGGGTTTAGGGTTTAGGGTTTAGGTTTAGGGTGTAGGGTTTAGGGTTTAGGGTTTAGGGTTTAGGGTTTAGGGTTTAGGGTTTAGGGTTTAGGGTTTATGGTTTAGGGTTTAGGGCAGGCATGATTTGGGATGTTCGCCCTTATACCAACAGCTCCTTAACAGGGATTATGATTATAGTCCCCCCCCCCCCCATTATAATCCTTATCCCTATTATAATCCTTAATAGGGATTATGATTATAGTACCCCCACCCCCCTATTATAATCCTTACTAAGGACTGTTGGCATCAGGGGGAACATGCCCAGGCATGAGCTCAAGTGGGCCTGCGCTCATATCGCACAGCGACATTAGCTGCGCACAACTTAGGAACCATAAAGCGCACGCAGCAATGCGCGCAAGATCCGCTGCAAGGCCCGCGCACAAATGACAACTGGCCACTGCCCATTTCATCATCCCGTCTTGCCAAGGGGTTCCTGAATCTTTGCGCTTGTCCTCTTCTTAGTTGCCCCTTGCTTTCTTGGGGTTGTTGCATGCCCGGAAGCTTCATCGTCCTCGGCCCTCTACCGCTCTACCCTGTAAAAACCTCCAAACCAGGCGTTAAGATACCTAAACACCCTAAACCCTATAAACCCTATAAACCCTATAAAACCCTAAACCCTAAACCTTAAACCCTAAACCCTAAGCCCTAAGCCCTCAGCCCGAAGCCCTAAGCCCTAAACCCTAAACCCTATAAACCCTATAAGCCCTATAAACCCTATAAACCCTACAAACCCTACAAACCCTATAAACCCTAAACCCCAACCCACCCCCGCTGAGGAGCGACGTGCCGACCGAGTGCCCTTGGCGCCATGTCCTTGGGGTCCGAACCGCGCGAGGCGGCGACACAGTCTTCGGAAGCCCAAAGCCACCGAAAACCCCGGTTTAGGGTTTAGGGTTTCGGGTTGAGGGTTGAGGGTTGAGGGTTTACGGTTGAGGGTTTAGGGTTCAGAGTTTAGGGTAGCCCAGTGGTACCCTCTTGCCCGTTTTTTGGTTCAAGGTTCCCTCACAAAGCAACCAACCCCGAAAAGGGCACCCTTGTTAAGATATGGTGACTGGGCTCCCAAGCTGCGCAGCCACTTAAAACCCGATAAGCCCTGACCCCTGTAAGCTCTGAAGCCCTTAGAAACAATATAACCCCTGTCAACCCCTCGTAACCCTGTAACAACCTTATAGCCCCTATAAGCAGTATAAACCCTATCAGCCCTAAGCCTCAGAACCCCTATAAACCCCCCCCAAGGCCCTGTAACCCCTACAAACCCTCAAAACCTACAAACCCTTGCAACCCTTTAACCCCTCAGAAGCCCTTAAAAAAGCCCCGATGACTCGAACCCCTATAAACCCTATGATGCCTCCCCATAAACCTATCAAAAACCCTACTTAAGCCCTTATATCTTCCGACCCGTTCGGACCCCCAGGGTGCTGTGGCCGTGCACCCCAAGTCGTCCCAAGGACCCGAAGGGTGCCCCTGGCCGTTTCAAGGCAAGTTTTGGTGCAAGTTTTGTGGCAGCTCCTTCTCGATAAGCCCCTTGGGGCCGAGGAGCTGTAGGTAGGGCTGCCTCTAAATCAAGGGTCCCCTGGCAGGCGACTCTTGTAGAAAAGCCCTGATTGCCAAGAAAAAACGCACGGCAAAAAGGGGACCTTGATTTTGAAGAAGCCCCTGCCGCCTGAGCCAACGGGTTATCTTCGAGTAGCGGTGCGGTATTCCCGCAGAAAGTTGCAAGGGGCCCGGCAGCCCCGCGCCCTTGGCGGATCTCAGCCAAGCAGAGAAGAAGCCTACATCCCGAGTCCTTCAACCCCTAAACCCGGACTCAGTGGAGTGCAGAAGAAGAAGAAGAAACCCTTGAACCGCTAAGCGCTTGAACCCCTCAGCCTCAAGCCCTAAACCCTTAAACAACCCTGAAACCCTCAACTCCCAAACCCTAAAGCCGCAACACAACCACTAAACCCCCAAAGTCCCTACACGCTTGCCACCGAATCCTCAGGCCTCAACCTCAAGAGTTTCAACCCTTAAACCCTTAAACCCAAAACCTCAAACCCAAAACCCAAAACCCTAAACCACAAGCCTACGACCACCTTGGGCGCGCGGTGCTCTCTCGGACGGGCCCCCACCTTGGGCCCCTCTCAGGTCTAAGCGGTCTAAGGGGCAGGGGTTTAGGGTTTAGGGTTTGGGGTTTAGGGTTTAGGGTTTAGGGTTTAGGGTTCCGGGTTTAGGGTTTAGGGTTTAGGGTTTAGGGTGGGGCGGTGCCCAAGAGCCCGTTGCAGAAAGGGTGTGGGGTTTAGGGTCTGCTCAAGGGTTTGAATGTGGGGTTCAAGGCATTGTGGCAGAGCGGCCACCGGCACTTTAGCCATTCTGCAGATTACGGCCAGGGCCCGCTCAGAGGTACCGCTTCATTCAAACCCTAAGCCCTAAACCCTAAAACCTAAACCCAAAAACCTAAACCCTAAACACACACACACACACACACACACTCTCTCTCTCTCTCTTCTTATTCTTTTTTTGGGTTTGGTTCCCTCACAAGTCCGCTCTCTTTGGTCGGAGGGCTCCCAGAAGCTCGCAAACACCAGGGGCCCAGAATCCCTCCACCACCGATAGGGTTTCGGGGTTTAGGGTTTCGGGGTTTAGGGTTTCGGGTTTAGGGTTTAGGGTTCAGGGGTTTAGGGTTTAGGGTGTTACGAGGCCTGGGTGCAAAAGGGTTTGGGGGTGTAGCGGTTTAGGATTTATAGGGTGTAGGGGTTTCGGGTTTAGGGGTTTAGAGGTTTAGGGCGAAGGGTTTAGGGGTTTAGGAGCTTAGGGGTTTAGAGCTTTAGGGTGTAGGGGAAACCCTAAACCCTAAACCCTAAACCCTAAACCCCTACACCCTAAACTCTAAGGGTTTAGGGTTTAGGGTTTAGGGAGACGCAGACCTGGACCGAAGAGGGGCATGCTTCCGCGGCTGCTGGCGATGGCGCAAATCCGGGTGATGACAAGGTCATGAGGCCGGCGCAGTCAGAAACCCAGTTTAGGCTTTAGGGTTTAGGGTTTAGCGTTTAGGGCTTAGGGTCCCAAACTCCAACCTCGGAAGTTCATGGGTACTTAGACCCCAATTACATTCTAAGTTTACTTCTAACCTACTTAGAGGACTTAGGGGGCTCATAAGTGCAGTTATAACTGGGGCTACAAGTACCCCATGAACCTCCATTTAGACATTCCCCCCTAAGCCCTAAACCCTAAACCCCAAACCCTAAACCCTACACCCTAAACCCTATTTTCGGCAACCCTCATTTAGGCTTAGGGTTTTTTGATCCAGGTCCCTGAGCTCCGTGTCGCGTTTGAGGTCTTCGCGGGATTCAGGGGTCCGAGGGAAAGAAAGTGGGTCAAGTCCTCTGGGCGTTTCCATCTCTTTGTTTCCCTGAACCCTAAAACCTAAACCCTAAACCCTAAACCCTAAACCTGAGGCTTTGGGCTTGTGTGGCCAGGGTTTGAGGGTTTGGGGGTTAGGGCTTAGGGCTGTAGATCTGTAAAGCACATCGGAGGGCTCTGTATCGTTTGAACCTTCGCCGCCTGCATCCAGGCTTTGGAAGCCATATTCGGCGCGCGGGGGCACAGCGCCTGCTCCAGATGCAAGACCAACCCGTTCAGGCGCCCAGCCTCTTCATACCCTGAACCCTAAACCGTGAACCCCAAACCCTAAACCCTAAACCCTAAACCCTAAACCCTAAACCCTAAACCCTAAACCCTAAACCCTAAACCCTAAACCCTAAACCCTACTACTGCTTGGGGGGCGTGGTCAGGCGTTCAGGTTCGAGTTCTGTGTGTAGTTTCCCGTAGCTTCCTCCTCCGGGTCCACGCAGAGCCATCCTGAACCCCAAGCGTGGCAAGTCTGTGGACGTTGCCCGCGCGATCTCCGAACTCAAAGGTCACTTTTGGCCAGCTGTCGTTTGATCGACCTGCCCACGTAAGTGGCCGTTACACACCAGTTATTGACCGTTGTTTCCGTGCATGCAAAACTGGACGGGCATTCTTTGTTTGTTGCTTCCACTGTGCCTCTTTGACATTGAGACTCATCAAGGTGGCGCGTGCACTCCGCGAAACGTCTACTCACCGCAAATTGCGGCGCCTCAGAAC